TGGAGCCATAAAGTGATCACATTTTGACATTTGTGTTTGGTGAGAACTAATATAGAACGGATGGAAGTATTCTTTATTTAAATACCTTTAACGTATGGTTCCTGACAAAGCCAGGGTTCTTACAGAAGTAGCGAAGCTTCTTAGCAAGCTGTTGTTGAGTTGAGTAGAGGTAAACATCTAGACAAATGCAAAAGAAATGCCAATAATGAGAGAAAAATAATGCTGCAAAAATACCTTCTAGAATTGGTTGCTTTGTCTTATCCCCCTCAGCCTCCTGTGAGGATAAAAAGTGACTTGAAATATGATTCAAGAATCAGGCATACCTTAGGGTTTTCATTAAGGATCAGAGATTGGAGAATGCTCTGGTAACTGAGCAAAATTCCCAGGCTTATACTAGCATGATCTTCCTTTTATTTCAAAATTTAATGAAAATCCTGGTACCAGCATATACTTACCCGGAAATATCTCTGGGTATGCCAGGTTGTTGGGGCAGAGAGGATAACAGCCTAGCTGTACAGCCTCTAACCTGACATGATGAATTAATAATTAGGAATTCAAAAGAAATCTATAGTAAATGTATATGGATGGAAAGATGGAAAGTTGGATGGATGCATGCATGGACAGAGGAGATGGGAGAGGGGGACTGGGGGGGGAGGGCTTTTAATGAGAATTACATTTTTATTTTGCCTAGGAATAAGAAAAAACGTTCACCACAGGGAGGGGAAGGGAGGACTGCRACGTCCCCCACATTAAAAACTGTTCCACCATCCCTGGGATGAGTAGTTGACTAATGGCTGGATAATACATGGTTAGGTGGATTGATACACAAATGAATCTAAGGAATGAATAGAAGGATGGATTGAAAAAATATAAAGAATAGATGGATGATTCAGTAGGTWAAGGGAAAGACCAATGAAAGGATAAAATAAATAAATGGCTTACATTGCGACACCAAAAAATTCATGTCGAGCTGTGGAGACTGCAAGATCAGCATCCATTAGGACAGCTTCATAGTCTTCACGTGATTGTTGATACCCCCAGTTTATGACTTTGTATCCTAGACGTGTCTTTGCTTCAGCAAATATGCCTAATAATAATTATTTAATATTTTTTCTTATATATTAAGCTTTATAAATAACTACTCATTCTTTTTCTRCTTCTTATAGCTATATAATTGTATAAATATTTATACAGTTTTTCTAAGTTTTCTAGTTTGAATAGCTATATCAAGTTCATATTAACATGGAAGAGCCACATTGTGGATTAATAATATTATTACTCATCATCATCATCATCATCATCATCATCATTATCATCATCACAAAGTTTGCTCATTTACCAGAGTTCTCCAATCCCCAACCCTATACTTTGCTATGCGTTGTGCTCTGAACACTTCTACGTTTTGGCGCTTCTCCTATAGGTTTCGATAGGTAGAGATTGTACATTGATATAACAATATAGGAACATCAAAGTGAAAAGCTAAAACATAATTGGTATAGAGTACAATTCTAAAACTTGTCAAAAAGTTGTCAAAAATAAATCAAAAACTTGTACATAGAAGTGTTCACAGTACGATGTGTTGCACAGTAATGAAAACACTCAAAGAGCACAATAAAAGCTGTACTACCTGTTCCAACTACTAGCTTCAAATAGCAACAATCCCTATGTCAAAATTGTCATCATTACCATCCATTTTGTCGATATCACTTCAATAACCATAACTATTTCCCATGACCATCATATTAGCAAAAACATATTTTCATTATTTACAAACACAAAACTTACTGGGGACTTCCGAAAATGTTTCTCCTATGACTGACACTTTGAAATCAAGTTTTTCCTCTAACAAATGAAAAATAGCATCAAAGAATGATTCAGGGTTCTTGTCATGTTCCCTGGAAAAAAATGCAGAAACATTAAATAGTTAATAACATAATACTAGTAAACAATACATTTTTTTGTTGCCATTGTTTTTCTTTCTTGTTTTGAAGGGAACCAAGTGCGGCATAGCAGTTGTGCACTCTCTTTGACACTTTTGGCCAGGCATTATCTGTTGGCCAGTCCTTATTTTTATAGTCTTGTGGCAGTAAGTGTTCACTAGAGCAGATTTCCATTGACTGTGAAAAGCTCACGGCATGAACATGGTCATGATA